TCTTCAACACTTCAAGAATCAAAAGCATATCAATAAAATACATGGACGTTGGGCTTCGTATTTTGAGCAGTTTAATTTTACTTTGTGACATAAATCAGGAGTCGACAATAAGGTACCTCATGCTTTGAGTCGGTGGGTATCCTTGTTGAGCATATTGCGAAGTGAATTTGTTGCTTTTGACTGTTTAAAAGAGCTTTATATTGATGATGAAGACTTTCAGGAGATTTGGGCAAAGTGTTCGACAAGACAACCAACAGGAGACTTCGTTATCATGGATGGCTTTCTGTTTAAAGGAAATCGGCTTTGTATTCCTAGTACGTCATTAAGGGAAAAGATAGTTCGAGACTTACATGGTGGCGGGCTTGGTGGATACTTTGGGCGAGACAAGACTGTTTTGAGTCTTGAGGAGAGATATTATTGGCCGAGTTTGAGGAAGGATGTGGCGACACTTGTGAGGAGTTGTCAAGTGTACCAAGTTGCAAAGGGGCAAGTACATAATACTGGTTTGTATACTCCTCTACCTGTACCCAAGGATATATGGGAAGATTTGAGTATGGACTTTGTATTAGGACTTCCCCGAACACAAAGAGGCGTGGATTCAGTCTTTGTGGTAGTGGATCGATTTTCTAAGATGGTTCACTTCATCTGTGCCGCAAGACTTCGGATGCACCACATGTTACACAACTATTCTTTCAAGAAGTGGTTCGACTAGATGGTGTTCCTAGTTCGATTGTTTCGGATAGGAATACTAGGTTCTTGGTGACTTTTTTGACTACTTTATGGTGACGATTTGATACTTCATTGAAGTATTCTAGTACATGCCACCCTCAAACGGATGGACAAACGGAAGTGGTCAATCGGACTTTGGGGAACTTGATTTGATGCATATGTGGAGAGAAGCCAAAAATGTGGGATCAAGCTATACCTCAAGCTAAATTCGCCTACAACTTGACTGTTCATAGTTCCACAAATATGTCTCCTTTTTCTATTGTTTATAGGAAGACCCCTCAACATCTCCAAGATTTGTTGAAGTTGCCGACAAGTAGCAAGTTCAACGAGGTAGCAAGTTCAATGGCCGATAATAATTTCAATGTTCAGGAGGAAGTGCGTACAAAGCTAGTGAAGGCTAATGCAAAGTTCAAGGCGAGAGCAGACAAGAAGAGGCGACTCAAGGTGTTCAATGAAGGAGACATAGTGATTGTTTACTTACGGAAAGAACAGATGCTGGCTGGAACATACAGCAAGCTTAAACCGAAAAGATATGGACCATTCATGATTCTCAAAAAGATCAATGATAATGTATATGTTGTGGATCTTCCAGAAGGAATGGCTATGTCTAAGACATTCAACGTGGCGGATATTTTTGATTATCATCCTTTAATCGAGTTGTATTCAAGTGATGCAAACTCAGAGACGAGTTCTTTTGAAGAAGGAGGGACTGATACAGGAAATCTACATGACCGAGACGACATTAGCGAATGACAACTCGACATCTTAACTCGAGTCGAGTCGACAGTCGAGACGACTAAACAGATGGACGTGACGAGACTCGACTCAAACCAGCCTAGACGAACAGACGACTCGAGGTGACGAGTCGAGATGATGACTCGAGTCGAAGCAACCCAGTCGAGACCCTAGTGATAGGACGAGACACCAACCGAGACCCTAGTCGACAGGACGAAACGACACACCCCAATGGACACGAAGGGCGGTGTTAGTCAACACATGCCAGTCGACAGGAAGGGCAGTACTACTCGACATACTTAGTCGACTCATGTCTAGTCAACACGAAAGACGGTACTACTCGGCACGCCTCATGTCGACTCGACAAACAAAATCGGAAAGGAGTTTTGTTTTGGTTATTTCCTTTTAGGATTAGAGTTTCTTTTTTATTAGGGTTAGGATAGGGTTAGTTGGTTATAAATATTAGTTCCTTTTGTAAATCTAGAATTAGCTTTTCAATTATTCAATTAAGAGAGTTTTTCTCCTTGTTTTCGTTCTCAAACTTGAGAAACTTAGAGCTTGTGGATTCAAGCTCATGAAATACCTGGCATCAAAATGATATCTGATCGGCCTCCCCGTTTCTACGTCTGTGTCATTTACTATAGTATATTAGTTTATACCATTTGTTTATGTTAAAAAGTCAATTGTATGAGTGTGAGTAATTTTAGAGGAGTTTGGGATCCCTTAATCTTTTCTGATGGTTGATAAACTGAGAA